ACACACACACACAAAAAAAAAATACTATTTCAATCTGAAATATTCAAAGTTCAAATCGTTTTTGAACAGTTCTGAAAATTTTAGTTTTTTTTAAAATAGAAGTTACAAACAGAACTTAACTTACAACAACAGCAAAAAAAAAAAAACAATGCACCTTTTAAGTTCATCTCCATATGTTGGTGTTGTTTAACCGTACAGAGAATATGCAGGCAGAAAAAAAAAAACCAAAAAAAAAAAAAGGCGAAAACAATGGAATAGGATAAATATTTCAGCAGTTTTTTGCATGCAAAATGATGGTTTAAGTTTAAAATTTTGTAAAAGAAAAATTGCCTTTTTAAATGGTACTGTAAGAAATGATAACAATTTTCTTTGCTAAAAAAAACAAAAAAACTATTCACCAAACATAACAGAACAATGACAAATCAAAAAAAAAAAAACAAAGTTTCAAAACTTGTAGCCTTTTTTCTACCCATATCAACGATATTCATGCAAAAAAAAAAAAAGAAGAAGAAGAAACTTCTACAACTTTTTCATTCTTTTATTCTCTTTTTTTTGGGTTTTTTTTTCTTTTCAAAAGAAGATCATTAAAAAAAAAACGATTACCTGAAATACAGTGACCAACGCCCAGAGAAGTGTAGCAAAATTTTTTCTTTTACACTTATAATGTGTAACCATCTTGTTGACCTTAACTTCGTCACAGAATTTGCATCCAAACAGATTCATTCCCAGTATGCTAAAGTTATTTGCTTTGAACAGTGATAGTGTTCAGGTGAACAGCACAAACCATGCATTAATTTGCAGAAGAAGAAAACCTGTGTAAAATTTGAGTTTTCTTTTTTTTTTTTTGAAATAACCAGTATTGAATTAAACTTCAAAAAAAAAAAAGAGTTATTATCTTCATGACTGGTTGCAGAGATTTTTTTTTTTGTTCCGTGCTATGTAAAAGATACATTAAACTAGTTGATGGTCAGCTAAACTGTTCAGTTAAACATCTGCCTCTAAATTGCGATTAGCAGACTAGTCTGTTTTCGTACCTCTATTAATTAGACAATATCTAAACGGTAAAAAAAACGTAGAAGAAAAAGAAAGAAAACTATTTTTCCAACCTTACAACAGTTAGAACTAATGTAGGAAAGTAAAAACAAAGAAGAATAGAGAACAGAAAAAATTAAAAAAATAAAAAAATAAGTGAGAAGAAGAAAGAAAAAAGTGAAATAAAAAGCAGAACTAATTGAGAATTTTTCATTTTTTCTTAAAATTTTATACAAAAAATTTCATCAGGTTATCTGCTAGTTTTTTCTTGTAATTAAGAAGTTTTACACTTAATATGGTTAGCTGTTATTAGTTCCCCCTTCTATTCGTTGTAGTTTTTTTTTTTTTTTTTGGAATACCTTGTTGGACATCGGTTAATTTCATATCAGTTTGTTAGTAACAGTTTCAAAACACACAACTTTGAAACCCTTAATCCCGTCTCATACTTCTCCGCTCAAATTACTATAGAAACTACAGAAAAAAAAAAGTTCTCTTTTTTTAACGCAATAAAGTTTGGCAACCGAGTAAACTGCTCAAAAAATAGCTGATATTATAGCGAAAAAAAAA